TAAGAGACGGGGTTTCACCGTGTTAGCCAGGATGGTCTTGATCTCCTGACCTGGTGATCTGCCCACTTCGGCCTCCCAAAGTGCTGGGATTACAAGCCTGAGCCACCACGCCCGGCCCGTAAATGTTTTTTTCTAATGTTATCTTTTAATTTAGTGGTCTGTTTTGACCTACTATTTATGTTTTTAGTTTTGTTTGTTTGTTTTTAAGACTGAGTCTCACTCTGTTGCCCAGGCTGGAGTGCAGTGGCACGATCTCAGCTCACTGCAACCTCCGCCTCTCGGGTTCACATGATTTTCCTGCCTCGGCCTCCTGAGTAGCTGAAACTACACTCCTGCATTCTAGGGATACACCCGCCTTGGCCTCCCAAAGTGCTGAGATTACAGGCGTTAGGCACCATGCCTGGCCCATTGACCTATGTAACTTTTAGTGAGATTAATTTGTTGATTTTTTCTCTGTGGTATCCAAACTTACCATGCTTAGATTTCCCCATATCTTAGGCAAATAAAAATTTGGTTAAGGCCAGGCGTGGTGGCTCACGCCTGTAATCCCAGCACTTTGGGAGGCCGAGGCAGGTGGATCACAAGGTCAGGAGTTCGAGACCAGCCTGACCAAAATAGTGAAACCCTGTCTCCAATAAAAATACAAAGATTAGTCGGGCGTGGTGGCAGATGCCTGTAGTCCCAGCTACTTGGGAGGCTGAGGCAGAATAGCTATCAAAGCAACTAGATGTTAAGTTTTTCACTAAGTCCAGCCTTCTCCCTACCTAGCCTGTATTTTTTCATATTCGGTACAATGCTGGGTGACCCACTAAAAAAATTTTTTTGATTTGTCAAAAGAATTCATGCTAAACAGGATAAATTACAATTAGCATAGAACTAAAATGGTGGACAAAACCTTCATCCTACTGTAGCAATCACCCTCAACCTGCCCTCCTTGCAAATAGCTAAGTTTAGGAAACTGTATAGCACCAGTATCACCACCTGTCAAAATGTACAAAAAATATGCTACACTCATTCATCTAAACTTAAAAATTTCACCCACAGGCTGGGCGCAGTGGCTCATACCTGTAATCCCAGCACTTTGGAAGGCCGAGGTGGGCGGATCACGAGGTCAACAGATGGAGACCATCCTGGCCAACATGATGAAACCGTCTCTACTGAAAATACAAAAAATAGCTGGGTGTGGTGGCACGCGTCTGTGGTCCCAGCTACTCAGGAGGCTGAGGCGGAGGTTGCAGTGAGTCGAGATTGTGCTACTGCACTCCAGCCTGGTGACAGAGCAAGACTCCGTCTCAAAAAATAAAAAAATCACCCACAATCCTAAACTGGTATTTTGAGACAGGATTTCACCGTGTTGGCTAGGCATAAGCCACCATGCCCAGCCCAGAAAATGTTTTGAGACAAGAGTCTTGCTCTGTCACCCAGGCTGGAGTACAGTGGCACCATCTCAGCTCACTAAAACCTCCACCTCCCAGGTTCCAGAGATTATCCTGCTTAGCCACTTCATTAGCTGGATTACACGCCACCACACCCAGCTAATTTCTGTAGTTTTAGTAGAGATGGGGTTTCAACACGTTGGCCAAGCTGGTCTCGAACTCTTTACCTCAGGTGATCCACCTGCCTTGGCCTCCCAAAGGGCTGAGATTAGAGAGTGAGCCACCTTGCTGGGCCCCGAAAATGTTAACAGCTTTGAATTAGAAATGAGGTACAATGGGCCGGGCGCGGTGACTCAAGCCTGTAATCCCAGCACTTTGGGAGGCCGAGGCGGGTGGATCACGAGGTCAAGAGATCAAGACCATCCTGGTCAACATGGTGAAACCCCGTCTCTACCAAAAATATAAAAAATTAGCTGGGCATGGTGGTGCGTGCCTGTAATCCCAGCTGCTCAGGAGGCTG